GCATGGGCAAACTGAAGTTAAAAGCCAAGCCAAGCATCAAATGAAGACATAAGGTCAAAGGGCAGAGATAGACTTTAGGCCCAGGGCAGCAGGACTGAGGCCAGGGATAGTGGCAAAGGGAAAAGTTTGCCCTTTGGGGCAGAGCAACCTGCAGGGCTCAAGTGCCCAGTTGTGAGACAGACCAAGAAATGCTCAGAGCACCAGCAAGACACAAAAGTTCCCCTTTGATGGATCCTACACAGCTTTGCAACTTAAAAATCTAGAAAGAATATTTTAAACCTGAGATAATGTAAGTTTTGTGTATAATAGTTTATATTTAAAGTATGGGTGAGGGGGCAGGAGGAGCCCACACTCCTCTACAGGTCTGGCAGCAGGACTTGTGGAAGGTTCCTGTGGCCTCAGGCATGGGCGATGCGGGGGTGTTAAAGGTGTAGAGCTCTACCCACGGGCACTGAGCAGGGAGGTCCCGCTGGAACAGGCTCTGGGGGAGTCATCGAAGTCCAGCAGGCAGAGAAGAGAGGGCAGAGTGTGTATCTGGTGGGCAGGTTGGCTGTAGGAACAAAGAGGACCAACTGCATACTGGCTCTATGGAGTGGAAGTTTATTTCTGTCTCTCATAACTGTCCGAGATGTTTCCGGGTTGTCAATGGGGGCTCAGGTCCACGCAGTCATTCAGGGACCCAGACTGCAGGGTCTCTACCATTTTCTACAAGGGAATTCCAAGGTGGCTCCGCCCCAGTCGACCAGAAAAAGGAAATGAGCTTGGAGGGGTGCCGGGGAGGAGTCCTGTGGGCTTGGCCTAGAAGTGGCCGCATCACTTCTGCTCACATGCGATGGCCAGGACGCAGTCACACCTAACTGCCAAGACGCTGGAACGTAGAGTATATGTGCATTCCCAGGACGAAGGGGAGACCGGACTCAGGTGGACAGGCAGCGTTCTCTGCCCAGAGTAGGGAGTCCGTGGCAACTGGGGCACACACAGGGGACGTGGTGAGGGCGGGCCAGTGGCGTGCTGGCCAATGCCTAACAACCAGCTCTCTGGAAGAAAAAAAAAATTAAGGCATGATTTACAGAATTTACTGATTTTCTTGGTATAAATACTCTCAGCACAGTCGATTTCAAGCTACCAGCATGATGTCACTGATCACGAGTGGGGAGGACAGCACGGTAGCAACCCAATATATGGTGTATGCCATTTGGATACGGTGGATGTAAATAACCTTAAGAACAATAAATTGTAGTGCAATGATTAGGAAATAATGAGTTTTGAGTATTTGTTACTTTTGTTTTTAATATATTTATTTAATTGTAATTTAATTTCTAATGATGTCCTCGTTAAAAAAAAAAAAAAAAAAACTGGCTTACAAGATTCCTGAAAATTTAACATTCAGCTTTCTTGCCAGTGGGTACTGCCCAGACTGGCCCAACACACCGCTGGGATGGACAGAAGGAGAAACTGGAGCCTGAGGCTGGGAGATGCCCATGAACACCTTGAGTGACATGCTGGGGAGCTGGGGCATCCGCCTCTGGCAACAGGGACAGAGAGCACTCCAAGCAGGCAGGCAGGGGACACTGGTGCTGGTGACCACTAGGCAGGCATCGCAGGACCAGAGTAGCAGGGTTTCCCCCTCTGCCTGCAGAAGAGCTTCCTCTGGTCCTCCCTGAAGCTCCTGGACCAGGGAAGCAGGGCTCTGCTGTCTACATGGCACCTTCGTGAAAATTAGAGAAAAGCACCACCCTCCCCCAGCTGCAGCTCCCCACCCCGCTTGCTAGAACACATGGCTTTGCCAGTAGAACCCAAACCCAGCTCTCCACCTCCCTCTGCCAGACACCTTTGTGCAGTACACAGACTGCACAACAGCATGAGCTGTCTCCAGCTGGGGTTTGGGGCAGATGCCCCTTTCCACTTTCGGACTGGGAGACTGATTGGCAGATGTGCCTCTCCCTGAGAAGAATCCCCCTCGGGATGGCACCAGGAAAAGACCCTCTCCGGTGGGCCTGCAGTTGTCTCTAAAGCCATGGTTCTCATCCCTGGCTGCGTGTTGGATCACCAGAGGAGCTTTTACAACTCCCGATGACCACACCAGACTAGTTAAACCAGAGCCACTAGGGGTTGGCTGTCAAAGCTGCCCCCTGTGCGGCCAAGGCTGAGAACCACTGTTCTGAAGGTGCCCTGGCTCTGGGCCAACCGATGTTGGTGGGTGACCATCCCACCAACAGGTGTACGTTTCAGCAGATGCCTCCTGGAGAGTTCTGACCCCTCGGTCCTCTCTGCACACCCTACAGCACCTGCCCCAGAGCAGCCCTGAGAACATGCGGATGATCCGAGGCAGGAAACCAGTGGGGGTAGACACAGGACCACTGCCCCAGAGCAGGAAAGCGGGCAGTCTCTCTAGGTGCTAACCTAGACCTGCATCTCCCCTCCCTGGTCTTGGTGTCCTGCTTATAAGTGAAGGGAGTGGGGCTCTTTCTTCAAATAAAAACTTACGCAGAAGGTCAGCATGTTCAATAGATCCCCCTGGCCTGCTCTTGTCCCCATCCCACCCTGCCACCTACAGCCCCAGCAGGATGGGGAGGCTCCCAGGGCCCCTGAGCAGGGTGCGGGGAGGCTCTGCTTTCCCTTCCAGCTAGACCTGTGGATCCTCCATCCAGGGAAATTCTGGGAGCGTGGCCTGAGGGCGGACAGGAGGAGAGAACTGCTGTCTCCACCCACCTCGGCTCCCCCACCCTTCTCCCATGCAGAACGTGGATTAGCTCCTGCCTTTTCCCCAGCTGCCTTCTGGATTTGAGCCCAGAGCCTGTGGGTTCATCCAATTCTAACTCTGATCCCCAGAAAAGCAGTCAAGTGAACACAGTGACTTAATGTCATCGGGGGAAACAGCTGCACAGGAAACGCACCCAGAGGTGGTTTTTTAACCAAAACAAGTGTGAGTGGACCCAGACTAAGTCTCAGGGCATTTTCTTGCTTCTGACTTGGAGAAAGTGGTCCAGGCTGCATTCTTCACAGATGGCTTCCTGATTGCTCAAGATACTGTCACAGGTCACAGGACTCAATATGAGATTTTCCAGGTCGATAGTCTCCCGGCTCCCCCTGGGTGGCCTCTGTCCCAGCCTGACCAGGCTTGTACCTGGCCCTAGAGGAAAAGGAGATCGACTTTGTCATGCGCTGGTGTTTCTTGGATCTGCCCATCAAGCCGTTATTTCATGTGGGCTCCTGCCCTGCGCCCACCCGGGGCTCAGGGAGGGAGTGCAAGAGGGGCCACCTAGGGGACTCAGATAAGGCCCAGGAGAAGCGCTTAGTGGCTCCCTCTGCTGGTGGAACCAGGAGAGTTTCACAAGTTTCACATGCTCAAAGCACGACAAGGCCTGCGTAGCTAAATCAATGTGGAGAAGGAGAGGGAGCTGCACGTGCGAAGGCACGGGGACAGCCGGGAGCAGGGGCCGCGTGTGCAGATGGTTGTGTGGAGCACCAGAAGAGATGGGTTGAAGCGGAAGCCATGGACAGCACCATGAAAGGCCTTGAACGTTACATCAAGGTGCCTATTCATCCTCCTGAGGAGTAGCTGAGGGCCAGCACAAGTGACTCGATGCTGAGTAAGACAGCTCTGTCTCCGCGGACTCTGCATCTCCCACGCGCTGGGCCATGTGGCTCACCACATCCTGCTGAGTCTCCCTCCTTCCTCTCCAGTCCCCCCTCCTCTCCACAGTCCAGACTGTCTCTCCCTGGTGGGGGCTGCTGCAGTGATCTCCCTGAGGGCCCCTCTTCCCCTCTGGCTGCTGGGGTCGATTATGCATCAATAGGACATTTGGGGATCAGTGGACCTGGGGCACTTGGAGGGTTGTGGAGGGTCAAAGGGAGAGTATGGCCATTCAAAGGAGGGAGGCCCTTGTTCGAATCCCTCCTTTCCAGCTGCTAAGAGGGTCATACACAGTACTCAGGCCCAAGTAACCAAGACACAGGCTCAGGAGCCTAAGAGGCTACATGGGGTGATCATCACGTGCAAAAATGCAGGTCACTGTCCAACAAGGTCATTGAAGGCTCTCAAGCTAGGACCTATATGTTAATGTGAAAGGTAGGAATTGGGGTAGAGAGACTGATGTCATTGAAAAGCGGAGCTGTAGAGACACAGCCCTGCGTTCAGATGCGCACCCTGCCGCTCAGTAACATGTGACTTTCGCAAATTATTTAGCACTGCTGTGCCTTATTTCCCTCCTTTGAAAAGCCATGAGTAAAACACCTGCCTCCAGAGTTTGAGAATTAAATGAGATATTTAAAATAAAGCACCAACCTCAGTTGGTACCTAATAAGTGATAGCTGTTGTGGTGCCACATAGTAGGTGCCTAATAAATGATAGCTATTATTGTGATTGCATTTCTTGGGCAATTTGGGGGATCTTGAGGCCGGACCTCCCCAAAAGCCCCAATACACACCCTTTAGAATTATGCTAGGATTAAACAGAAACATGGCCATCAGCAGAGATTCACTCTTCCATTCAGTGAAAATTTTGAGATGCTACCATGTGCAAAGCCCTGAACTAAGTGCTTCTTGGGCACTCTTACTCCTATCGCCTTACTAAAGAGGCATAAATAGTTAATGTCCCTAACAGGTATCTTCCTGCTGGTCGAGTCCCCGAGGATCTGAACGTGCGGGGCTGCTAGCTCCAGGACACACCTGTCTTTCAACACGTAGAACTGTGAGCTCAAAAGCGTCCCATTGGGCTGGGCCCTGGAGGGGTCTGTGGTCCGGAGGGGTCTCAACCTCTCTCACCAAGAGCGCTCTCCCACCTGGCCTTGGCAGGGTGTTTGGGCCAGGCAGCCGCAGTCCCGTACACTGCCTCCAGCCTCTTGGTGGCTCAGGCCCGCCGGCTCACACCCCGACAACCCCTTCCCGAGCAGACGACGGCCAGAGCCGGACGCACCCGCCGGCCTTGACCGCTCCGCCGGCCCCGCCCCCGGGCCGCGCCCCGCCCCCGACGCGCCCCGCCAGGCTCGGAACCGAGACCACGCGCGCGCCTGCGGGCGGTGGGACTGCCCGGCGGGCCCCGCCCCGGCCCGGTGATTGATCGGCAGTGATTACTGAGGCTTTAATGGTCCGCGTGCACGGGAATTTATTCCACGATGGATAAATAATGCATCGAGGTTTATGTAGTCCGAGGCGAGCCGTCCGTCCGTGCAGAGCCAGGAGAGGCCGACGAGGGAGCGGAGCCAGCGGGGCGTGAGGGGCGACTGGGCGCCAGGAAGAGCAAAGGGAAGTGGATGACAGCATGATCGGCCCCGCGGGGCTGGCCGGGCACCTGCGGGAACATGCTGAGCCCGAAGATCAGGCAGGCCAGGAGGGGTAAGTCCAACTTTCTGCGGTTTCTCTGGGCGCAGCGCGTGCCTTCTGGCAAACGGCGGCGCGGACACTCGGGCAGCTTTCTGTCGCGCCGGGTGTCAGGTGGGGCAGGCGTTCTGGGACTGTCGCCTCTGAATGGAGAGTATCTTCGTGACTGACGTGCCCTTCCTAGCCAGGCTCCTGGGCTGTGTGGGGCAGACCTGAGATTGCAAAAGGGCGGTGACCGTCTTAGCGCCTGAGTGGGTACACAGACTGCACCCCACATTCCGCGTTTTATGGAATCTCTCTTTTGCTCCAGGTGATCAGGTGGCAACTCTGGGCAAACTTTGCTTCTTTAATAAAAAGAAAAATGCCCAGGATTTGCCCTGTGGCCAACACAAGAGTGGCCCTTACCAGGGAGGGCAATGCCCTGGCTTCTAGAGTGGCCGGCTCCAAGCAAGGGTCTTCATTACTGCTGCCCGGCTCGAGCTGCAAGAAGCAATTCCTCAGGCGGGCAGGGCGCGGCAGGCGTTCCTGCCAGGAGAACCCCGGAGAGCCGGGCAGGGCCTGGTGCCAGGAGCAGGTGGTGGGGAGCAGATGCAGAGGCAAGCAGGAGATGAGTCCAGGCCTGGCTAGCCAGCCCGTGTCCAGCCAGCATGTGTCCCAGCAGAGTGGCCTGGAGACTTGCCACTGGATGGAGCTAGGCACAGCATCTCCCTGGACAGCAGCTTCTTGGCCAGGGCAAGTATCGTTTTAGATGAGAACATCTGTCTTTTGTGAAAATAGGATGTGTCTTTTCAGATGGCCAGTGTTTGGGCGGGGCTGAGCCTCCCTTGTAAGCAATGAGGATGAGGATGGGTCTTGGCGTGGGTGAAGCTTGCCTGGAGAGCTTGGGAACAGCGTGTGGGTCTCCCCAGGTGTCGGTGGCAGGGGGCCTCCAGTCTACTATAGACTCACAGGGAACACACCGATCTCTTTAGCAAGCCCTTGGATGACTTTCCTGCATGGGACCAGCCTTCCAGTGTGTTCCAGAGCCATCAGGACCCCACTGTGTGTGCTTCGGGACAGGCTGGGTCCCCGTAGGCAAAGGAGGACGCTGCGTGGCTCTGCCGAGGTGTGGGGGCACAGTCTGGTGACGATCCAGGCAGTGGGCCGGGCCAGACCCCTCCGAGTGAGCTTAGTTCTCCCCCAGTCCCGTCTAGCGAGCTAGCCACTGGCCACGCATGGCTATTAAGCATGTGACGTGTGACTAGTCCAAATCGAGAAAAATACATAACAGATTTTGATGATTTAGTACAAAAAAGAATGTAAAATATCGCATTAATAATTATTTTATATTGATGACATGCTGAAATGACAATATTTTGGATATATTTGGTTAAATAAAATCTATTATTAAAATTAATTTCACCTGTTTTTCCTTTACTTTCTTTTAATGTAGCTACTAGAACATTTATAGTTACGTATATGGCTCATATTATATTTTTTATATTTCTATTGAACGGTGCAGCTCTAGGAAGAGACCTTTGCTTCAGCAAAGGGGCTCACAGGCAGCCTGCCTTAGAAATCCCAAAGTTCTTACAAACATTAATTTTAAGTCCGTAGTTCTCAAGCAGGAGCACTTTTGCCCCCCAGGGAAGATTTGGCAATATTTGGAGACAGTTTTGGTTGTTCCAACTGAGGGCTGTTACTGGCATCTAGTGGGTGTAGGCCAGCCACACTGGCCTTTTTCCTATTCCTTAGAGCTCCATGGGCCTCCTACCACAGGGCCTTTGCACACCCTATTTCCCCCTGGAATGCCTCCGACACTCACACACATGCACTCACACAAGCACACACTCCTTAACTGCCACCCACCCTCCAGCTCTGAGCTCGTGAGTTGCAGCCAGGGAAAGCTCCCACGCGCCCCGGTCTAAGCCGGGCCCTCACAGCGTGCTCTCCCTTCCTTCACAGCGCTTGCCCCAGGTTGTAGTTGTACACTCCTGAGTGTGACTGTTTGATGGATATTTGTCACCTGCACTGCTCTGTGAGCTCCGTGAGGGCAGGTGAACATCATTACACCCCCAATGCCAGGTTCCTGGTGGGCACTCAACATGTATTTTGTGAATGAATGAGTGAATGAATAGTTGAGTAGTGGGGAAAGCATTAACCTGGGAGGATGGGGCACTATCTCTACCCTAATTGGTCCAGGTCCTTAGGGAAGTCAGCCCCCCCTTGGCTGGCATATATGTCACAGATATTTTCCCAATCTGTTGCTTGCCCTTTACTTCTATACTAGAAAGGTTTTTTTCCTCCCCCAGATTTACATGTGTTTTTAATTCTTATGTCATCAATCTATCAATATTTTCTTTCTAGAATTTCTGCCTTTGTTTGGAATATTGCAAAATACAATTGGTGTTGCTAGGAAGGAATCTTGGCCAGGAGCAGCAGCGCATGCCTGTAATCCCAGCACTTTGGGAGGTCAAGGCCAGAGGATCTCTTGAGGCCAGGAGTTCAAGACCAGCCTGAGCAACACAGAGAGCCCCTGTCGCTACAAAAAAAAGAAAATTTTAAAAATTAGCGAGGCGTGGTAGTGTACACCTATGGTCCCAGCTACTCAGGGGCTGAGGAGGAGGATCGCTTGAGCCCAGGAGTTCACACCCGGGAGCTGTGATCTCACCACTGCACTCCAGCCTGGCCACCAGAGTCAGACCCTGTCTATAAAAAAAAAAGAAAATTTAAGGAGGCCCCTTCTTTTAGAGGAAATCATTAGACTGATGAGCAAAGTTACAGCAGCTTTAGCTGTCTCCCTTGGCCGAGCGTCAGTGTCTTGGGAGCTTGATGAATGGCAGAGCCTGGTCAACTCTCCGGGGCTAGGAAAGCTCTGTGAGTGTGACGAAGCACTTTCGATGGCCTGGTTCTTGCGATTTTCCCACGAGAAAGTAAACCAGCATTTATTGTGTACCCATGCTCCTGGCATTTTTGTTGTACTTACCCCATTGAATCCTCACGACCACACTATGCCGCAGTATCATTTTTACCATTTTGACAGATGTGGAAGGAGAATTTATATTTCTGTCTGTCCAATGCTAAAGCCTCCTCCTTCTCCCGACCCAGCGCTAACCAAAGGCTGCTGCGAGTGGCCCTGCGTGTCTCCAGGGGGGCAATAGATTCCTCGAATGATAAAATGCAATAATATTTTTAAGAAGGTGTCCCCATCGCACCTGAACACATGGAGGTTAGATTTAGGTAACTGATGGAATGCTGAATATTGGATCATTGATGACTAGCACAAAACTAAGCAAATGAAAAAGCAAGGCAGTTATGAATCCCAGGGAAAACAAAAATTTATTCACCAAAGAAAAATTATTATTGTATACGACATAGTTCAAGTGACACTAGCAATGGCACAGCACTAATAATGGAATTCTGTTATTGATCTAACCAAAATTGCAGTGCAGCTACATTGGGAGGATCAGGTGAGTGCGTATGTGTGGGGGCAGGGGGCACAGAAGTGAAAGAAGCAAGATCCTCCTCTCCCAAAGTGAGAAGTCCGTAGGTAACACCTAAAAGGGAAAAATCAAGACGTGGCAATAAATGAATACTATTTAGAAATGTAGAGGGAAGCGACAAAGAACCAGTTATAAAGTTGAAAGTGGCCACCTCTGGGGGCTGGGGGGTGGAAGTAAAAGGACACGAGACTGCTGAGTTGCACCCCCAGGTTTGTAGGACTACCTTAGCAGTGGCGGGGAAATGACAGCCCAGAGGTCACCCGACCTCACACCAGCTCAGCTTAGGGTTGCTCGGAGCCCTGGAGGATCCTGCTCTTAAGGGACAAACGGGGCTCACAGGCCGCCTCTGATTGCTTAGTTCTGAACAGCACGGCTTCCTGGGATGTGGCCATGGTGACCCCGTGCTGCCCCTGCCCAGGCTCATCAGGTACGCTGAGGGTTCCCTGCAAGAGGCCACCTTCATGGCCCTGAAAGCAGGGCAGCTAAGGAACCGTAACCTGGTTAGGTGATACAGCATCTGGCTTTGCCTGATTCAGGGAGAGGACCGGGGCTGGCAGAGGGGTCAGTGCGGCTTGCCAAGGAGGAGGGTATGAGAACTGTCCGCGGAGGGTGGCACCAGGGTCTGGGCCAGAGCCCAGCCCGGGACTGGAGGCGCCATACGCAGGAAGCTGTGTTGGAGAATGAGGGCTGGAAGAGACGCACCCAGCAGTCTCCCTGCTTCCAGCCCGGGCTCTGGGCTGCTTGTAGCTGCCTGTAGCTGACACTTACCCGACAGCAGAGGTGCCCAAGCCTGACATCCTCCCCACCGGCCAGGCCCTTGCACCGTGAAGCGGACCAGGCTCCCTCTTGTCTGTCCCTTCTCAAAGCTGCGCAGAACTGAGATGAAATTGCATAGCATAGCCCCTCGGATCAGCAAAGGGTCCAAGACAAGTCCTGGGGACCCTAATTGGAGGGAATGAAAATTCCCAATTTGGGGGTCTTTGAACCACACTGGCCTCAAATCACATTGCAGCCAGATTCTTTTGAATACTGCTTATTCTAGGATTTTCATTGTTCACTCCCAAAATATTTTATTTTTTTATTGAGGCATAATTTACATACAGTAAACTGTACAAGTTAAGTGTCCACTCAGTGACCCGCACCAGCTCCAGACATGGAGCATTTCCCTGACTTCTCCTGTGCCCCCCAGCCACGCCCAGCACCCCCAGCCCGAGTGACACTTTTCCAGTTTCCACCACTGCAGTGGTCTTGTCTATTCTTGAATTTCGTATAAATAGAATCAAGGGCCCGACTCTCCACTATTAGTAGATTACAGGCCACACAGAGTCATTCTGTTTTCCTCTTTAAGGAAGGAAGAAAAGTGGGAAAATTTCTACTGAGCGCTTAGAATGTGCCAGACGTGTGCCGGCCCTTCCGTTGACATGCGAGCGTCCCATTTTCATCTCTGCACCAACCCTGTGAGACAAGGGAGAAAACAGACGTAGGATGATTTAAGTAAAATGCTCAAAACTGCACCACTAAGATCAGAGCAGC